AAGCAAAACTTAGAAGCGAAGTGCAGTTATTTATTACTTGGGTTACGAATAATCTAAATCAGTGCTTAGTGTTAACAATTGTTCTTGGAAATTGCTCTCCGAAGCCTTATGTGCGTCCTAAGTGCTTACGAGATTCGAAATTACCTGAAACAGCATTACGCTTAGCGTAACTAAAAAATCGCGTCATGTTAAGTGAAGTATATTGGCTGCGATTTTTAAGTCCCTTAAAAAGGTCCAAAATAGCGTGAAAGTTGGGCAGTCATTCTACATAGAACTGCCATTGACAAAAATACTTTGCGTATAAAAAAAAAAAACAGCACGATGGTGTGCGCCGCCTCTTGAACAGAGGCTCCATGGAGACAAGGTTTGTTGTGTCCTACCTCGTCTGGGACTATAAAACGATGTCATAATACTGTCGTTGGTGGAATGGGAACTATGCGGCGCTGTGCAGAGTGGGTGCACACTCACAGTCGCAGTGTGGCGCTTCCTTCGTGTACGTGCTCGCAGTGGTGTTCGTTGCAGTGTCGGCAGCTGGCTCGTCTGTGGTGCTGGAGTCCTCGCAAACCACGACCATCGCCAAGCTGAAGAGAAAGCAGAAAATCCGGAGTCGCGCCATATATAGTTTCTATTTTCCTATAGCACCGGTCCAGCTGTAAGCGTTTCTTTGACGACCTCTTTCAGAGAATTCAGCAGTAACCAGGGGACGTCCTTTTATTCCTTTCCCACTTGGCAGCTTGTAAGGACACTAGTGACGCAATTTGTTCGCGCCCTGGCTTTTTGTGCATTCTTACTCCACTTATAACTATTGAACTTTCTTTTTTTTTTTGCTTCAATTTGTACAACAGACTAAAAGCACAGCTGCCGCGGTCCTACTGCACCGTTACGTATACACTTAAATTCTTTGACAGGCTGAACTAACACACTGTGAACCAATGAATACGCGCCTGCTGGGTGCTTCGCGCGTGTGGGGCGGTGATCTGTACCTTGCGTGAGGGGACGGTGCCCACTCTTGTAGTCGTGGCCTTGAAAAACGACAAACATCGCCTGGCGGTCAAGAGAAATCACGCCATGAAAAAAAAAGGAAATTGGCATTGCATCGAAATTGCGGATGACTATAAATCAAGTATTTTGAAAGATTCACTTGCTGGTGCAAAACACTTCATATGGCACATGGCACATTTCTGCCAGTAGAATGCGAGATCCGAATACGAGGAAATGAGACTTCTACCGCCAGAGCCAGACCGTCGAGACATTGCAACTTTTACGGGATAAGCGCTGTAACGGGTGGCCATACCAATGATCGAGAATAGGCTTGAAGATAACGTCTATACCCCTGGATTACACTAGCAACGTTGTGGTTCTGGTCCACGCGCTGTCTACATGGAAGTGAATGTGGTTTGTAATTGTAGAAGTGCCAAAGCAGGCGTAATCATGTGTGAAAGGAAATATGCTTTTTTTAGCCTTAGAAAGATACCGAACAATACGCAACACAGGCTATAGGAATGCCTGACGTTCAAGTTCCCTTTAGAAATGCGCCACGTGATATCCTGTCAAACAGAGAGCCCTTTTCACCTCAATGGAAGTCCAGATATTTAACACCCACCAGGGTGATGTAGTGGTTAAGGTCATAGGCGTACGCATGCAGGGTCCGCCTTCAAGGAGGTGAACCTTCGTCGCAGCACGCCCCCCTCCTTATTATGTGTATGTATAGGGCCGACTTTGCACCATCCCCCTTTCTTATGTGACTAGGGCACAGGTACGTACTACGCCATTATTCGTAATTCTGCGGAGAAGGAGTTGCTCGGAGGATTTCAAGTTCAACGGTTGTGCCACCCGCGATCTCCGACGCCAGCGCATAGCTCTCGACGACTGGTTCGTCCTCCGCGGTCTCCTGACACCGTGCACCTCGCGCCGTCCTCGGACTTCTTCGAGCGGCTCCCTCATCTTTCCCATCTCCTTCTTCTTTCTGTCGCTTGCATTGTTCTATTTCTTTATACATATATCTTTTCAAAATTTTTTTATCCCCCCCCCCCTTCTCACATACCCTACAAGCCGCCGAGCCATGCTCCCGCAAGGGCTGCAGAAGTATAGTACCTTCTTTTTTTTCCGGCCCCGCCGCGGTGGTCTAGTGGCTAAGGTACTCGGCTGCTGACCCGCAGGTCGCGGGTTCGAATCCCGGCAGCGGCGGCTGCATTTCCGATGGAGGCGGAAATGAAGGAGGCCCGTGTGCTCAGATTCGGGTGCACATTGAAGAACCCCAGGTGGTCTAAATTTCCGGAGTCCTCCACTACGGCGTCTCTCATAATCATATGGTGGTTTTGGGACGTTAAACCCCACATATCAATCAATCAATCAATTCTTTCTTTTCCATTGAACCACGTATATTCTGAGGAGAAGCGGGGTACTCGCTACGCATTTGCAAGGCATTATGGGCATGCTCTTGATGCGGTGGCTGATATGACGACGAATAATTATGGATAAGCCCTTTGTAATGGGTTGGAAGCATTCAACGACTCGCTCACTACGCAATTCGCATTGTGTGACGCCTGGTTGTCATTGTACTCTTCTGTCACGCTATGGGACATATGTTAACGTGGCTGCTTCTCGACATGAAGCCCGTATATGGTCTTTTTTTCGGAGTTGTTTGCAGCCCTGGCGTAGCTCTGTCGACTACCACGGAGAAAGCCCAGGTTCGAACCCCGTTCTATTCTGGATATCTTTTCTTATTTCGTACGATTTCGCTTACGTACACCGGTGGCGGCGGTAGCGGACTCCGAAGACGGCCCTTGTGATCTCATAACAGGTTTCACTGCGAAAGGTTTTGATGGCGCTTGAGCATCGCCTTCGAGAGTGGAGCGCGATCAGGTCTCGTGTGCGTGGCCTTCAACCGTCAAAGGAACGTTTGTGTGCATATTGACCGCTTCAAGATAGAATGCATACTAGATGTACAATTGCCAAGTCTGCATTGCGCCATGATTCTCCCGATTGAGAATTCATGAAGCCCCCACGACGCGCCCATGGATCGTGTGTCACGTGCAGCTCCAAACTTTGTGGGCGGACAGCTTCAAACCACCCATTCGCGGTGCAACTTGTTTTGACGCCTGGTGCGATTCCAGGATTCTGTCAAGAAATATTACATCCATCAAAGAGACTCCATTCGCTACATGGCATTAGCTTTTCTTTTTTCACGAAGCAATTACAAGCAATGGCGTCGCTCCATGTTGGAACACTTTCATGCTTGCCAGGAGGCAGGCCGAGCTGGGTTCGATTCTTGCTCGAGCCGAACATTCTTTTGTGTTTATTTATTTGAATCTATCCCGAATTTTCACCGGCGGACAACGCCGACTTTTCGCTCGCGACCATCGGAGCTGACACCAACCCCGGCGTTTCTGCGAAACGAGCCCTTTATTGCAATCGCGTTAAAACCGCGTATTGCCGCGATGGTGTCTTTCTTTATTATGACGAGGCAGTACCGTGAAGTCAACTTGCACCCCAAAATTTGCTTCGCAAGTGCAACAATTTTATTCAAAGTTTATATAGAATTATCCAATATAACTAATAATTCCCCCTTTTCTTGGGAGGGGTTGAGATAGACATTTGCACGTTGGACCATATCGAACTGAGCGCAGCTCTCTAGTTATATATGTTGTACACATTGGTGACGTTATCTTTCCTTTCTCTACGTTCGAGTTAAAGCAAGTAGTGCACAAGAACAACAACATATGTGCGGAAAAAATACACGAGAGGAGTTACAAAGTAGCCCAGCTAATCATTCTCTTCGTTCCACTCTGCTTAAATCGCCGGCTTTGTGGGGAACAGCAGTCCTCTTTGCATCAGCTACTTTGTGAAAAAAAGAAAGCGCAGAATTGCGGAGGGGTGAACATGACCACGATCAATCACGGGAGCACATAGCACGTCATGGCAAGCGGTAGTTCGTACTTGTTAGGCCCCTGATTTATGCACTCGCTATTCGAGTCGCTTTCCATACAGCTTGCATTCCCAATTACACACGGGACAGTCACCTTCCGGGTGGATAAGCGAAGTTTTTGTGAGGGAAACCCGATTTCTAAGGGCGTTTCGCGCTGCCTGATGTTGGCTTTATGAAGTACTGCGGTCATTGATATGTAGGGTTTAACGTCCCAAAACCACCACACGATTATGAGAGACGCCGAAGTGGAGGGCTGCGGGAATTTAGACCACCTGGGGCTCTTTAACGTGCATAAAAATCTGAGCACACGGGCCTACAGCATTTTCGCCTCCATTGGAAATGCAGCCGCCACAGCCGGGATCCGATCCTGCAATCTGTGGGTCAGAAGCAGAGTACCTTAATTCCACCATACCACCACGGCGGGGCGAGTATTGTGGCCAGTACTGCGGAGTCGCCACTCCGAAAGTGAAATTACTCGGAAATCATTCGACATTTTCGGGCCCCGGAATAGAATAAAAATTTAATGATTACAACGTTTGGAAAAATGGACTAGGAATAAGATTGAGCACCTTCTGCACGGAATGGAATGAGAATGTAATTATGCTTTTTTCCCGAAATAGAGCACATTTTCGTCTACACGCTGTTTTTAAAACATCAAACATTAGTAAGTCAGTCAGAGCCTCGAATTGAACAATGAAGAAGTACTTCAACTACCATTCAAATATACCATAAAAATGGCGGGCGCCCCAGTGTCGGCAGAACACCAATCATTATGTGGTATCGACGCCATACAGTTTGATTGAGTTAATGTGCATCTTAACTTTCTCATTTTCTCCATCGCTTATTCATTTATTCGTATGTGCTACTTTGTTGATTTGTGTTTTTCACGTACATTTATTACTATTCGATTAACATTAGCATTACCTTTTAATTTCACGCTGTGGAGGGCACGCCACTTCATTTCAGTTTCGGTTTCGTTCAAAAAAGCGCTTTTTTCTACCTTTCGACGCCTGACTGGTCTGGCCACTACGACAGGAAGTTGTCACGCTTACGCCGCCTACTACTTTTTTTTTTTTTTTAGAACCGTGGAACGGCTGATGAGGTCTCTACGGCGCCTACTCGTAGCGGTCCCGTAGAAGAGACCCCCCCGTGTGCACCCAAATGTTTGGCGGCCCGTGTAGTACGAGAGAACGATACGTCATGTCTCCTACGAGGAACCCGGTACTATTAGCAGTGCTGATTCCAGCCGTGCTTCACGTAGCATCCGCTTTCTATCTCCCCGGCCTTGCCCCCGTCAACTACTGCAAGCCAGGCTCAACAACCAAGCAGTGCCAAGTAAGAACCCGGTGACGATCTCGTTGAATGATTCGTGCGATGCGCACGCGACGATTTCGTGTATCGCTGTTGCCACGACGTGCCGAAAGCACATCGTGAACAGCGTTGCCGTGTTGTCGCCGGAACGCCTGGCCTGCCGCAGGTGTTTCAACGGGGTGCGTCACGAAGTTGCGCCGCTCGTGTGGCCGTGTACACGAAACCACAGTGTTTGCACTTGGCGTTTCGTTGCGTTATTTTGTTTGTTTCTTGGCAAGCGACGTCTGTGCGCCACGTTGTTCGTGCTTGCCGGCGGGACCTGAAATTACGGGAGTCTCAAATGTGGTCTTTATGCGCCGTGGCAGCAGCGACGTCGCCCGCCTTAGCGTGGCGGTAACGCAGCCGAGCGTGCAACATCGGCATGGAAATGATAGCGAAAGCGCTTGATCGCGACTCGGCGAATGTGCAAGGTTACTGCGTCGTGCAATAAACCTTTCCGCCGTCTCAGGAGTGAGCAGCGCAGTCCCCGTCTCGGTTGGCTTTCTCGTGGCGGCGGCTGCGAGCGCTGCCAGCAGCTGTGGCGTTGTGAATCATCGCATCTTCGTGGCGCGATAAGGTGGCCGGTGATAAAGGAGCGTTTCTTCCGCTCTTCTTCCGTCGCCGCCTGATGAGGTGCTGGAAAAGTCTGCCCTATTAGCGCCAGTCCGTGACAGCTAACGATCGAACCACACTGGAAATAATCTCTCACGAGCAACCCACCCGCTTTGCGCTGCCACTGTGTTTGCACGTTGCGTCGCTAACAAGTCTTTCGGGGTGTTTTGCAAAAAAAGTGTACACTCTCGCATTTGAGCGCGATGCTCCTATCGCCAAGAAACTGAAGCTAATCGATTCTAGCTTCTTTTAACACTTGCGGAATGCGTAGCACGTCAGCTAAATGTGCGACATTTCGCATTTGCCACGCGTGCCGGCTGACAGATTCGTGGGAAATTTACCCAGCGCTGCAATCGCATGTGCAGATTTTGAACGATCTCGCTGACATTTCGTGCTTTGAATGCAGCGTCAGGCAGTCGCTGGGCAGATCACTTACCCTTGCATTGACGGGACTGCGAGAAGCTTGCGCTCAATCTAGAGGAAACTTGTGCAAGTCGCGGTCTTGTCGAAGTAGTCAGCGTCACTGCTCAGGCTTTTTTTTTTTTCTTCAATGTTTGTGCAGTTACACATTGAATCACGGTTTTAGGCTTTGCTGTGTTGAGAGAATGCTGTTGGAACTTTTATAACAAAGAATTAACGCTGTGCATTGAACCAAGTAGGTGCGTACATTTATATTAACCTATAATTAATTGTTTATAATGACGTATGCCATAAAAGTGGTACACTAAATGCATTATGTTGGCTGGAAGGTATAACTTAAAAAATTCAAATTTTGGCAATGTTTGGACTGAATGACCTAATGCAGAGATATTTGTTAGAGGGCTCATTGCAGGCGACAATGGCACTTGTACTCAGTTATTATCCAGGCACTATTTCTATGCATAACTAGCACTCACTGGAGAGCAATGAAAACGCGTCAAATAGGGAATGGTGTTGTAGCTAACGTTTCGACAGTAATTGCCTTGGCTGCTATGAAGTCATATTGTTGAAATGTTCTCTACACACTGTTGTTTAATCTTTCGCCACTTCAAGCCTCTAGCATTTTCTGAGCTTCTCTCAATATTTGATTTTGGCTATCACCAGCAACATAACTATGGGGTACATAAATGACACTAGCAGTGTATATGAAAGGGGTGGCTCAAAGATGAGGCTCTAGTCTTTATTGTCTGTGCTCTTTACGTACCCTGTAAAGATCAAACAATGCATTCAAATCAAGGTAGTGTTTCAACAATACCGTTACATTAGAGAACTAAGCTTTTTTGAAGAAACTTGAAGAAAAAGGAAGCCAGGCCTGTACAAACATGCAGCATAGTCAGTAACATAAGTTAGTCCGAGAGCCTGTTGTAAAACTTCCTTAGAGAAACCAGTGGTAGTGGTGTACCCACTATGCCATAATCATCTTGCAAAGTAGGAGTGCCCACTACGCGCCTGGAAGGCAATAAGCACACGTACATAGTTCCATACTTGGTTAATGTGCTGCGGCCGAGTTATGGCTGTACCTTTTGTAAGGGGTGGGGAGCCTTAAACCACACACTTGTTAAGCAATTCACGTGGTTTGACGCCTGGTGTTGTGTCACATTTCTGCTACACCATACTTATGTTAAAGGGATTACTCGCCCCACGAGACGTTTCAAGCACCAGCATGGCTCTGTGGTGGAATACTAGGCTGCCGTGCAAAGTGCCGGTGTTCAAATTTTATTGAACTGATTTTGTTTTGATTTTCTGCTCCTTGTGATTGGCAGCTGTAATCGATACCCGTGGTGGTTGATTAGTTGGTAATAGTTACTGATAGTTACTGAATATTAAAAAAAAAAAACAAAAAGCGTAGACAGCAGAGGGTAATGGTCACAGCACAGTGCTTACTTGCAACTGTAATTGTACTGCTGCATGCACACTGAAAGAATGACAACCCATGTGACCATGCTCCACAAAAGGCATCAAAAAGCCACCATTTTTAATCTGGAACAAAACAACCACTGTTGAAATTGCAGGCTCTTCCACACATACTGTTGAATGAAAGAATAATTATTGTAAAGAATGTAAAGAAAGAAAAGTCAGCGCTGCGGTGTGTCTTTCATCGTCTATTGTCAGTACCGATTCTCACACTGTTTTCAAGGCGTTCAAAAAAATATTTTGATATAAACTTGATGCAATAGCTGCAAGCTGACATCCTGCACCCGCGTGCCATTTTCGTGCTGTGGCATGCATTTTTTACTCATATTCTGAGCAGGAAATATTTTGGTGACAGCTGATGCGTTTCCTGTGTTAGAATGTGCGTCTGTGCTGACTTTGAGTTGGGTTTTATGTTGCTCAGGAGTTGTTTGCTCAACTGTTTGTTGTAGATAGACATTTGCATACGTTGAAGGGTTAATTGGTGAGCCAGGGCATGTGCTATTTGTACGTAGCGGGTGCAAGGTGTTTGAATGCACGGCTTTCAATCACAACAGACATAAACATTCTCATCTACCGCTCTGGACACTTTCCATCGTTACTAATCTTGCTGCCAAGCACATTTGTTCCAGTTTATCAACTTCCAGTTTTATATGATGAATGAATCTGTATGGTGCCTTAGTTTCCTTACACACTGATGTCAGTGACCTTGACTTTGCCACCTTTTTGGGCTATATTCTTTCTGCTTCTGTTTTAGTGTAAATAATGTACAATCATTTTTGGTGCGTGATCAAGGTGTGTAAGTGGTGTGCTGCGCATCATCTTAGACACCACTTGGAGGTAGTTGAGTTTCTTTAGTAGAAGCTAAAGGCAATGATCCGGGATAAGTTTGAGAAAGCAAATATGACTGTGCTGGCTGGCACAACAGGCGGGCTTTCTGTGTGTAACATCCCTGGGTGCCAGTTTCGATAAATTATTTGCCTGCATAAGCCCTCTACAGCATTTCCCAGTCGGCTGAGATTAGCGGACTGGGAACTGCTGTGGCCATGTTACTTACCTCCAGTGTGGCATTCTAGTGCTCAGCATACAAATAGTCTAAGCTGCGGCATATGAGGAGTGTCAGTGAGACGGGAGGCTATAACAAGCAACCGTACTGTGCTGAAAACTTGAGGAAGGCCACTTTTGTGGTAGCACTGACGACCATCAACATAAATCATCCGATCTAAAGATGCAGCCATCACAGAAGCCGCGTGAACGGATAGAGGCTGGAAATGGCATTATTTGACAGCCCCTTAACAGGCCGTAAATAGAGTTAGAATATCTGGAGTATTTCACTTTGGTTCCAAATATTACACTGAAAAAGTAAACTGGCGTTTTTGCTAGTATTTAATGGAAATATAATTCAAGCTTACCTCTGTTCGGTAGCTAATTTTGTTTTTCAGCTCGAACACAACAGTGATTATAGTAGGTGACATGAACATAAACACATACATGACAGACAGTGATTATGGCTATTTGTTGCAGTCTTACAACTATCATAACTTAATTACGACACCAACACGTATAACTGAGGTATCGACGTCTTTAATCGACCACGCACTAACAAATCTGGACACGGGGGTCACCAGAGGAGCTTACTTAGAGCCAATCTCTGATCACCTACCTATATTTGCTGTTTTAGATTCCCTTACGGGTACCATGACAACGAAAAGTAACATCGTAACCAAAATAGATTACAAGATATTATGCCAAGAAATTCGTAGCATTAAATACAACGAAATACAAAATGATGACATAGACATCGAAACTGATAACCTAATCAAATACCTACAAAACGCTATAGAAAGGAGTAATCGCAAGGTAAAGAAAAGCCGCCATGAAAAACCTATGTGCCCTTGGATGACTGAAAAGATACTTCAAACACTCAAAGCCAAAAAATACTGGCACGACAAATGGCGCCATAACAAAGACAATCCCTACTACTTACAGCAATTTGAAGCTCAGCGGAATAAGTCTGTCGCCATTATTTGATCACGCAAAAGGCAGTATTATACTCAACTAATTAGACAGACCGCTGGCAACACGAAAAAACTGTGGGAAATTATAAACGAAATCATAGGTAAACAACGTAAGCAAACAGTGCTTTCCGAAACCATTGATGAAGACGTTGTAGAAAATCTCAACACATATTTCGCAGGTATTGGTCCATCACTGGCCAAAAAATTTAATGACTCGGACAACATTTCTATATCGCAGAGCCCTCTGCCCAACACCTTCGTTATGTATAACATTGAGCCTGAAGACGTGATATCAGCAATTAATAAAATGTCTACCTTTAAAGCTTCTGGGCTAGACGGCATTAATATTCGTGTATTAGGAGCAGTATTATGCCACCTATTCAATCACTCCGTCAGCTGCTCCAGATATCCATCTCAGCTGAAGATTGCTAAGGTTGTCCCTATCTACAAAGACGGAGACCGCAATGACCCTTCTAATTACAGGCCAATATTTTTGCTCAGTACCATTAATATCATATTTGAAAAAATTATGATCAGTCGGTTCCACAAATTCATTAAAAAATATCAGGTTATGTGCCCGCAGCAACATGGTTTCCGCCCAAATCACTCTACTTCATCAGCAGTGTTAACGCTAATTCAAAAAATTAATGTATCTTTGCAAAGTAATATACTTGTGTGCGTCATATTTTTGGACCTGAAAAAAAGCTTTCGATACCGTTGATCACAACATACTTTTACATAAGCTAAAGCATTATGGTTATCGCGGTAGCCCATTAGATCTTCTCACTAGCTACCTTCATGAGCGAGTGCAGGTAGCTAGAATGAACGATAATACGTCATTACCAAAGTGTATGCGCACTGGAGTCCCTTAAGGATCTGTCCTAGGGCCACTTTTATTTTCATTATATATTAATGACCTCCCACAAATTTTAGACACTAGTGAAGTTATCATGTACGCTGATGACACTTGTATTTTTATAACAGCGGACAACATTCAAAATCTGCAAACTAAAGCAAACAAAGAGTTAAATAAAGCAAGTGAATGGTTCGTGGAGAACAAACTTACTATAAACGTCAAAAAAACTAAATATGTAGTGTTTCGATCACGCAACAATATCATGCCACCTATTTCTCTAGATTTGCGAATAAACGAATTTCAACTTGACTAAGCCAGCTCATTTAAATATCTTGGCATGATATTTGATAAAAATCTGCACTGGCAAGAGCAAATAAATGCAGTTTGTACAAAGCTCTCCTCGGGATGCTACGCACTTTCACAAGCACGTCATCATCTTGATACCAATACTCTGCATACTTTATATTTTTCACTCATTCACAGCCACATCTCATACTGCAATGAATCATGGGGTACGACATATAAAACGTTTCTTGAACCTGTTCGCAAACTTCAAAAACGAGCCCTGAGAATAATCGCCCATTCTTGCTACAATGAGCCGAGTATGCCTTTGTTTATGAAAATGAATATTTTGCCTTATGATAAGGTACACGAATTAAAAATTGCCACATGTGTTTTCAATGTTGTCAAAAACAACCTGCCTTTTCATGTTTCTTTATTTTGCACATCTGCTCGTGTAACCAGAAGTCAAACATATGGAAATTTCGATCTTCCTCTAACGAAGAATACTTATGGACAACGTTTGCTGCAGAGTTCAGGGACAAAAATTTGGAATAAACTACCAGCAGAAATAAAACAGTCAAATTATTTTGCATCAGTTCTCAAGAAATACTTACTCACACAGAACAATATTTATCAATGAAAACAATTATGATGTCATTTGTGTGTGTGTGTGTGTGTGTGTATGCATGTGTACCTGCCAGAAACTTGTCACCCAATGCCAGAACTGCCAGAAAATACCATTGTCACCCAATGATTAGGTTTTTGTTTTCGGTATTAGCCATGTATATTTTAATCTTCATAATAATGTAATAGTCTGCTTTGTTTACTTGTATTTTCGTAAGTTAGAACTGTTAGAAACAATCGTGCATTTACCGACACTTTCGCTCTCCCTTTGTTTCACTCGTGCAAATTAAGGATGCACGATAACTATCTGTATGCGTGTGATATGTCTTTTTTTTTTTTGTACATGGAACCCTTAGTTATTTATTTTTTGACCCCTAACCAGCCTTCGGCTATGGGTCCAACCAGTCATGATGTTTCTGTATGTTTCACAGTTTGCAAATAAAGAATTGAATTGAATTGAATTGAACACTCATGAACAGGCAGAACATATCAAAGTCCAGGTTTTCAAGACAGGTCCCAATTATGTTGCATTGCACATCCACATGCAAAAAAAAATCAAGCATAAAAAAGGTTCAGTGTTTCAGTCTCTGCAATGCTACACTTTGCAAGCACTCCTCCATATAAAACATAAATTTTTGATATTGTGTACTCTCACTTGCCCATAATGCCATGCTTTTGTGATGGTGAAAAGAGGTGTAATGAAAAGCATAACATTGCGTAACAGCATAGCATTAACAAAAAAAGCTAGCTCATTAAAACAGCATATAAGAGGGTATTGAAGAAGTCTTTGGACTGGCTTTCTTGAAGTTGTCTTGAAACATTTCTTTCTGCAATTTAGTGAGTGCATGCTTGATTTCTATACTCCTTGTGGAAGATTGTAAGTCATGCAGCATTAAGACATGGGCACATGAGAACTAGTACAGAAAATGTGTTGCCTTTTTTCTCTTCTCTTCAATCTATGTGGCCACATTTCCATTCTATTGCATGCACATGGAATGGAAATGTGCTGCGAAGCACTAGTTTTAGGTGACAAAACGTGTTCTGAAAGTGTTATTGAGGAAGGAAAAAAGTATAAAAAGGCCAATCAAGAGTAAAATCAATAGACTTACGAATTTATTATATCTGAAATTCACTACTGCCAAGAAGTAATGTTAACCAGGATGCAAAGTCAGGCAATAATTGTCAATGTCAGCCATCCACTAAGTAAAGTTAATCAGAGATGATTGTTTGTCACTGCAGTAGTTGGCGATACCTGTACTGCAAAGTACAATTACTTTTGGTACGATTTTTCTAGCATGCTCATGTTCCGAAGCCTGCACTTTCAAACGTTCATCTCTGTTCGTATTACGCATACAGGATTGGGAAGATAGAGGTAAAGCTGTGCCTTCCTCTGTGCTGCGATTCTGTCGAGTGCAATGTTCGGGGTGACATCTAGGCAGCCTGTATTACTGTTTTTTCTTTGCTGTCGGTTGGCGAAACCAAGGAACGATTGCAAAGTTCTTTGCTTTGTCAACAGAGCCTGTTCCTATGTTTTCTTTTTTCCCAAGTGCAAATGAAAGCATAGCTGTTGTCTATTTTACCTATGTCTCTGCCCCATTGTCAGACTGGCATAATACATGATGAATTTTTTTTATTTAGCTTGTGAACCACAAAGTTTTGTTGCTAGTGCTATTTTTCTAATGCTGCCTGTGAAGTGCCTTGCTGATGAAGGACAAGGATGAAGCAGCTGAGGATTCTTGAAAATGATGTGTTATATTAAGACAAAAACTCGTGTATTGCTAGTTTTATTGTTCTTCTCTTGTATGCTACCCCTCCTGCTCAAAAATCAAATGGCGGGATATGTTTTGCTGCTAGCAGCAATACTTTGTTCGTAGCTTGTTAGGTTTTACATGATCGCAATGCAGTGTGATTTGTAGTGGAAGGTATTTGAGATGCAGGGCTGTAGGCTGGTTGCATGACAGTTCACGAAATTCCAACTTGGATGTTTTGATTTATTTCGTTTTCATTTCTTTCTTTACAGACAAAGATTGACCTGTTTGTGAACAGGCTAGACTCTGATGAGTCTGTCATCCCGTATGAGTATCAACAGTAAGTTTCTTTTCGTTTTTTGCTCACCTGGCAAAGTTTGGCATTCGTATGTTCAGCTGTTGGAAGACAGACGTTAAGTTAGAGGAAATAACGCAGTGCTTCGTGGTTTTCAGTACAATTTTACCTTGCTGTCGTGCAGGCTGTGAAATTGTGAAATGATTTGATTGAGGGCAAGCAAAGTTTTGGGCAGCGCTGATTAGAGCATATGGCGAATACAGTTTCCGAATGTCCCACATGTTGCCAGGCTGTTCAAGAATCTTGCGAAGTTCCTCTATATCTGTTTATTTTTTTATTTATACAATTACCGGATCTCCACCAGGACATAATTGCAGGGCGACAACTCAATAACAAATTTTATGTATGCATACATATAGAGATGAAAATATGAATTACAAAGCGATTGACACAGCATGGAAAAAGTGGCAACACATGCAAACAAAGCAACCCTCTTAAATTCAGGTATAAACAGATAAAAAAAAAAGAAAGCAAAGGGGACAGGTAGTTCATAGCTCATGGGAGATTCGATGTAAATAATTTTGGGACTGGGATGTTTTACAATGAGATGTACCCTGAGGAATTCTGTTCCAGTGCATAGAGGTGTGGGGGACAAAATGAATATTGAAACACATGTCAAGTACTTTACGCTCAAGATCACAATGTACAGAATCAAGTGAAGCGGGGGGGTTTACAAGTTTTTATTTATTTCTGTGAGACCAGAGTAAATTTGAAAAAAAGTCATTGAACTATTTTTTAACTCGACTATGTTTGAACATCAAAATATATAGGGAAATTGATGGCTACATTAAACAAAAATAGCTGGAAAAATTAATATATCCAACATCGGTCAGTGTGGTACACCCCACGAAGTTGGCTTTTCTTCACAAGGAGTAGGCCTTTCATCACGGAAGGGGACTTCCTAGGAGGTTTTTGCGAGAGTGAGTTGTGGTGTTAGGAAGGTGCTATGCAAAGTGAGTAGAGGTTATCACTGGTTACAGCATGCTTTCTTCCATGATTCTTTGTCCCAGCAGTCGTGCGGTGTCGCTGTTAGGTTCTTAGCTCCACCTGTTAATGCAATGGCTGCCGTTAGATGGAAGAACCCGACTGCTCTCCTCAAAGATGGTAATAATCAATACATTTGAATGAACAGAAGTCTGACGATGCCTGTGCACACTGATGGTGACGTTGAAAAACAGCACAACATTGCGTCAAAGGCAGGCTAGAGGCTTCTGGCTCCCGACGACCATGCAAAGCTGTGTACGAATAAGTTGAGTCGCTGTTTATGTTGAGATCTTATTTCTTCGGCTACAGCCCGTGCCTGCATAATACCCGCATCCCTGACCAAATACTGGGAGAAAAAATAATAATAAAAATTGCGGCATATTCTCCCAAGCCACCTTTCTTTAATTGACCTAAAACAGTGCCACGAAGCTACTAATATGCACGCTTAAATTCAAATAAAGTAGTACAATAAATTTAAAAAATTTGTATGGCATTGTTCAATCCTATTGAACTAATTTCTGTTTTTTTGTTGTTCTATATATGAACATTCGACCGTATTCATTGTGGAATCAAGCCTGGCAGAGCTTTAGCTGAGTATTTCCTAACAGTGCAGCTGCATTATATCTCTACAGTAACATGCAGTTTCCAACATCATATTTTATTGTGACAAGATAACATTACTGTTGTATTCATACCCAACACCCGTGGTTTGTAGCACATTAGCTGTAGTGTCGTGCTGCCAAGCATGAGGGTGTGTGGTTTGGTTTCCCTGCCATGGAGACCACATTTGTTAGGGAGGCAGAATGCCAAAATACTAGTGTACAGTACTCGCACATTGAAACGGTACAATTTGAGGTTAAGCAATGCACATACTTTTCTTTCCGTCGTCTTGAGTTTGGGTTGTATCGGCATAATTTTGACTCAAATGCATATGTCACTGCCAACACTTTCCTTGGAGACGAGACTCATTGCAACACGATATGGTTATTCGAGCAATACCCCATACTAGTCGCTATGCTATAGAGTTTGAGGTCACATTTGAATCTGTGAGGACCGCACACAGATTTGGTGGTTAAAACAGATATGGAAGTCTTTCTCTATGGCATGCTTCACAAATATGTCGTGGTATTTGGTACGTTACACACCGTAGCATGACATAAATAAATGTGCTGTCATAAAAATGTGAAAGGATGTGGGAAACGAAGTTCAAGCAGCACTCTGTGCAGCAAGCTTTTATGGCAGCTATGATTCCAACTGTGCAGTTTTTCATGTTTTACCATTCAAGACAAGTTCGTTGATCATTAATGGTATTTTTTTCTTTGTGCAGCTTTGACTTCTGCACGACCAATGGAACGACATCGCCAGCAGAGAACCTTGGCCAGGTGGTGTTCGGCGAGAGAATTCGACTCTCACCTTATCAGGTGCACCGTCTATAGTAGCTTAATGTTCTGTTCTTGCTCACGGGTGCTTTTTGGAGCTGTGAAAGGAACCACATTTATGCAGGGAAGCTTACTTGGTACTTTTGTGCCTCCGACGTAACTAGTAGATAAGTAGGTGTGAGCCACCAAAAAGGGTACTGACACGAAACTTTTCTGTTGTCACTTCCTGGCATCATGTGAAAGGCCATGCCCTCTAGGGCCTAGAACTGTACTGCTAAGTGTGAGTTCACCCTGAAAAAGTAAATACAATATGTAATCACGGCTACTTTTCATTACTACTGTACCCTGACATCACATCACGTATCAGGTTCTCGTTGTGAGCACAGGTCACTTATCAAGTGATGTTTCAACGGCCACTCTGCCCTCTAGCTCCGTTGGTGGTGCACAGGTGGCCATTTTGGGATTTTTCGTGCCCGTCGTCATCACAACTAGCCAGACCGCTACGTGAAGTCACCATAATTTGTACTGTAGCCTGACTTCAAGCTAGTGTCAGTGTCGGTAGGTGTGTAATGGGAAAATTGACTTGAATGTCAAGGTAACATATCTTACCAGCATTTACCGAGTGTCACACTTGCTCAGAGCCGTCTCTCTGTACAGGAGATTTGTACGGCAGTGTAAGCACGCCTCCCCGAAATGGTGTCGGTACCCGTTAAAGCGTTTCGTTTGCTTATGTCTTTAGCTAGCAGTGCCTCAGTGGTGGTTCTGGTCAGTAGTTGCTGATTGTTAGCAAATCACAGCCTTTGTGGCCGCAGGGGGGAGTTTCTGTCCAGCATGGATCTTGCGATTACTGGTAGTTTTGCAGTGTGCCATCTGTGAGTCTGCGTGTTTACTCTTGTTTTCTCACCCCAGGTGTCTCTGTTTGCCACTTTCTAAATTTAAAGCTTGAGGAAGCTGATGAGACGCAGCCTAAAGTGTGAACTAAAAGCCTCGCTGCCCTATTTTTTAGTTTTCTGTGAAGGTTGTGAAGTACATAAAAAATAGTGGCTTATATATTGTTCTACCATTTGGAAATTTTTATTGAACTTCTACTTGATGTCTGCATTGCTCGAAATAGCTAGGCCTGCCAATATGTTTCATTCTTAGCCCTGTAGTTTGTGCTCAATTTAAGCAATACTATTTAGAAGGTTGATAGAAAGTGAAAAAAAAAAAGCAGCTTTGAATCACTGTTGTGTTACTAGTAACCTGACAACCTGTGAATTGAACAATCTGAGTAATTTTGTGTCTAACAAGTGCGCGCAGTAATGTTCACAAGCCAGCCACTCGCAATCCTCAATCATTTCGTTGTCCACAACGTGCACAGATCGACTTCATGGTGAACAAGTCATGTGCAAAGCTGTGCACGCGCCAGTACGGTCCCAACATTCCTGGGTCTGTGGCAGCGCTTGGACCAGCTTCGCAAGGGCATGATGAAGCAGTACCGGCACCACTGGATCGTGGACAACATGCCTGTCACCTGGTGCTACCTGATTGACACCGACAAGCAGTACTGCTCCATGGGTTTCCCGATGGGCTGCTTCACCTACCGCAACAGCCAGCCTCGGGGCCTGTGCAGCGTCACGGTACGATGGCAGCCTCCTTCCTCTCTCTGAGTAGAACTTGTGGCTGGGCCAGTCAGGTACAGTTGAATCGCACTGCAAGGAAATTGATGAAATGTGCCGAAAGAGCGAATATCTCATGACGCTGCCTGACATCTCTGAAAGTCGCGATCTAACAAGATATTGTCGAGTAGCTAGTGGAATTCACAGGCACTGCTCGGTTTATTTTTATGGTAGCACTTGCGACGACATTCTTGAAGTGAAAGTGGCCAGGAAAAGCGTCACTAGGGGCTAACTCTTATTCTCAGAAAAGCAGCAACATTAGGTGCAGTAACCGTGCTCAAAACACACCTCCTCCCGTACTCGTCAAAATACACGAGATAATGGGAATGGCAGAAACCGTTCCTTGATCTAGGAAAGGTTATAATGAAACTGAATTTAGCAGCACGTAGAACAAGAGATGTCACTTGCACACATTTGTTTTTTTTAATGCTTTCATGATTTCACGCATTAGGTTGTCGTTACTCACACCAAGAGGAAACACCCGAAGTCTCGGATTACCGCCTGCAGGAACTGCAATGCACAAAGTTTGTTTTTTTTATGGAAAGTTAATGCTCTTAGCAGCTTTGTTTAGCCCTTTTAGACGCTTTCTGCACAATTGTGTACATCACTTGTTTCTGCTAGTTGCGTCAACTGAGGTTTAAGAAAGCGCAAGGTACACTGAGCTTTGGGTGAATTGAACCTCCCTCATATACTTAAATTCACTTTGCAATGTAATGTTTCATACTCACTGAAGTACAAAAAAGACGCGTACCATTAAGGAAGAAAAATTAAGGACGGAACAGAAGTCTGTCCTTAATTTTTCTTCCTTAATGGTACGCGTCTTTTTCTATTTCAGCAAGCGCATATTAGCTAGCCCAACAAAAAATTTTTTAAATGTTTCATTCTACACTCAAAGCTCGATATAACGAACCCGTATATGAGGAAATATTGGTTATAACAAAGCAAATTAAAAATAGTCTTGCAGTATTGTTGGAATATACCTTTATAACAAATTTTCGGATATAAGCAACTTATTTTTGTTTAAGATTCAACTTTGTTTTGATGACGTTTGACTGTAACACCCTGCTGGAGGCACAATGATGCTCGATGTATCATTTGATGTGCCACTTCCCTCAAGGCGCATCAAAGTATACTTCTGCTTTGACAGAATGAACTATGATCGAAAATGACTTTGCGCTATATTTCTAGCCTAATATTTGGATTCCATTTACGTGGGAACACACTATGAATAACTTGCAGGATAAGTATATATTTAGTTAGCAGCTTAATTATGACTAATTACTATAAAGTTCATATGTCAGTGTCTCGTGAAATTATTCTTGTTGCAATACAATATTGAGGGCCTTGAAGTAATGTGTACATTTGATGCATTTACTGTTCTTCGCAGGTGTGTCATTTGATGACATAGTCCAGCATCAGAATTTCAGTGTGGCTTCCCAGTATCTTGAATCACTATTTTTTCACATTCGAAAAATTATAATGTTTAAGTTCTCAGTAAACACATTGCCTTTTTAAAATGCTGGCCTACCGGAAAAATGCATGGAAGCTATTGAATCAGTTGCAGCATCTTGTGGTGCAGAGTGTATCCAGGAAGTACGTAAAGCTGCAACAGGCCCGCAGTAAATGATCATTTTTTAAATGGAACTGCTCCTTATGTGGAACAACTGACCCGTAACATAATTGGTTTCGTACTTGGATTCTACACCCCTGTTGATCTCCCGGTTAACGGAACTCCTGGTATAAATGGAGCACATTTTCCTGGTCTCTTCAAGTTTCATTTAATCGGAGCCTACTGTACGCAACACCGCAGCGCAGCTACACATTCCATATAACTGCTGCCTGAAAGCACCGTTTGGTGTGTAGTCATTTAAGGAGACGTTGGAATGGTTCTTTTCTTTAAGCTTTCTCAGTGTTAATGCTCGAGTATCATCAAACCATCTACGCCGCAAATTTAGTGACACGCCGTGTACCAAGGCCGCTACAGACAATATCATACGCTCCCTCTTACCTCTGTTACGCCTGCCTCAGCTCATAAGACACGCCGGCTATTGCAGAGCTCTCATGAGCGCACTCGACGATTTGAGCTTTGCCCAGTTTAGACGTCTGAGATTTTATGCCAAGAGGTTGCTCACAACCTCAGAGGCCATTGCCCAGTGCACCTCGCAGCACGCACTCTGTCTGGCAACAGAGACGGAGATCACGGAGTGGTTGATACATGCTCTGACAGGTTCCTCCACCCTGTCAATGGATCTTACTTTCATGCATTCCACAGCCAATCGTATCAGGCGCCTGGGTGAACGTCGGACTACCAGAGGATACTACGAATGGGTGGTTGCAAACTCGGTGGCAGTGTAATGTAACATCCCTCCGTACGGTTGTGTGATGATTTGCAGCTTAAAAGCATTGTAATAAATTACACAATTTACGCAGAGAGCTCAAATCGGTCTGTAAATGCCCTTAGTACTTGGTCTACCGGCTCGATGCGTTAGTAAAAAATGGTGAAAGCCGTTTACGGTCATCCTACAACAAGAAGTCATACAACTCAAGAAATTAATAAAGGGTTCGATTTTGTCTGCAAAGATTGGAAGATATCGTTATTAACATTGTTACTGCTGCTTATCACTGTAGTGCAAAAGGCTTCTCTATCTAAGTTAAAGGCCAAGCTGAGCCCTTTCCAGTCTGAAACCCTTTCCCACCCTTGTCTGTTCTGGTCCTGAACAGGGTAGCCAGCCGGTCTGAAAACTGGCTAACACCCTGTCTTTCCTCCTTCCTTCCTCCTCCTCTGGTCCTGAACTGAAAAGACTTAAAGCTCAAGTAAAAGAACTGTTTTACAGATGGGGCATGAATAACCTTTCTTTCTTTCTTTCTTTCTTTCTTTCTTTCTTTCCTTCTTTCTTTCTTTCTTTCTTTCTTTCTTCTTTCTTTCTTTCTTTTCTTTCTTTCTTCTTTCTTTCTGTGCCAGTACAAAAAGCAGAGCCCCATCATGGACAGCTGCAGCCACGCTTTCTCGTTGCCTGGACCGCGAAGAGTAGAAGGGCTTCTAAAGGAACCCAGAATTCGAAGTTTAGCTGTGGTGTTGCCATGGTGCACGCGTCTTCAAAAACACGCAGCTGCGGAAACTTATAGAATGGGGCTGTAATAGCGGCACTACATGCATTACATGATCCAAAAGCAGCCCATGCCAGTTTCGTTTTTTCTTCGCTAGGCTCATTTGTCATCTCTTCTCCCTTCCTGGCCAAGGGCTCCTCCTCAGCATGCAAGGAGCAAGGGTTACGAGTGTGCGTAGCCGCGTGTGGACCCACAGGTTCTTTTTGTGGACGACTAGACCATATGAATGATCGTGTCATGAGTAAGGCTGGGGATTACTAGAAAACCAGGAAAGGACCACGAGAGGATTGTTTCTTGGAATTGTGGCGTGCCTGCTGCTCATAGTGTTGCCACATTTGGCGATTGTGATCGTGATGACATTCGGAACTTTGTTTATTCGAAATGATAAAGAATTATTGGAGGTGGCTTAGGGGCCTTCTAGGTTGTGTCACAGCTTAGAGGTTTTCTAATTGCTGTGCTGGTGTATCATTTATTTGAAAGCAGTTAACTATTTTTTAGTACATCTTTCTAAAATTGACCATAAAGGCAGAAGCTGGTACGGGAACATCATAAACTGTGTTCGTACATGTCTTTTTTGATGCATTGTTAGTAGCTTTTCGAGCCTCCTGAAACAATATCAATGCACATTGTGCTTTTGCTCAAGTGTAGCGTACGAATGCGGCCCTGCTTCATGTTATCTCCACTTAGCTTGAAAACAAGTGTTCAATAGATTATACTGTTTGCATAAGTATACTGATACTATGTCAGGTAATGTCTTGCGGGGAAGTGTGTGGCTGCTTTCTTGTTGTCATTTTACATAATGGCATTGAAAGCTATTGGTTCTTTATCATGGTTTGTAGCTGCAATAGTGCGACCTTAAAGTGCTGCTCTTTCTTTCAATTGCATTATTTCTTGTGTCGTGTAGTCCGAGTTCTCCAAGCCGGAGACGTTCTACCTGTTCAACCATGTGGACCTGACCATCTCGTACCACAAGAGCGAGAAGGAGTCCTGGGGAAGCTCTTTCATCGAGGAAGGAGGTCGCATCATCTCTGTCAAGGTGCAACCACGAAGGTATGTGGAAACGTAGTGCAGAGTGCTTACCACAACTTCAATTGTTCTTGGCTCTTGTTTTATCTTTTGTTTAGTTGTCTCTTTGATTATGGTAGCTTTGAATGAAGTTAAAGGTCAGGTTTGTAACTTAAGGTTTGCAGCAGTTGTGATGTGTACGTTTGGCAGAGTTGGGAGCTTTGATGTATTTATCAAACGCATCATATGATGGGCGAGGTGTCGAAGGTGACGACGAGCTTTCAAATTGGTTGTTGGAAGTGTGCCGCAGGCCTGAAATACCCATTCAGAACAGTGAATCGTTCAACTTGCTGGCTGAGCACAACTTTCGTTTCCAGCGTGCAGGGCAACAAAAAGCAGATGGAACAGAAGTGATTAAAGTGTTGGTTTTGGCCCCCCTCACTTCTCGCCTTCTTTTTCTTTTATTTAGATTCCCGTCACAAGCTGTGGGCTAATGGTAATTAACGTTTTATTAAAACCTCATCTACGCAGGAAATGAGAACGATGATGATGAATACTGGCACATGCTACCAAAAGCTGAAGAATAAACAGCCACTTGCTTATATTTGATATATATGTTGAAGGGATGGCAGGGGTAGCCTCATTCTTTATGAAAGTGGCATCACGACAAAAAGTCTTTCATATAAGGCAAAAAAAATAAGAAACTTAGCTTCACTACTTCATTAAAAAAGGTTCAAGCTTGCTTGTAGTGTGTCACGTTTGTCACAATAACTGCATACTGCTCTGTTGCAGCATCAATCACAAAAACCACGAGAGGCCGACATGTGACACGGGCGAGCACCTGACACTTGGCCTCAAGGATGATGGCCCCCTGACCATTACATACACCTACAGTGTCACCTTTGTGGTGAGTAGGGATTGATCAATTGAAATAACTTTTTTGAAGGTGAATGAGGAGGTTACCTGAAAACCTCGTCTCACTGACTTTCACTTCGAGGCCGTATTGATGAAAGGGCTGTTATTGTTATTGAGAGCTTTCTAACATAGTCGTCTATGAATGCTTTGTAAAATTAAGAAGTGCTAAAGTTGGTTGTGTCACAGCAGCTGTTGCATTGTAGCAGTATTCCTTATTATCTTCTAAAGTCAAAAGTTAACAAGCTCGTCCAAATTTCAGCTCTCATAAAAATTATGCTACAGTGAAACCTCGTTAAACCATAGTTGGCCGGAGCGCGGAAAAAGTACGTACTAAACGGTAGTACTGCTTAACCGAAATAGCGTCAGGTCGCTCACTTACCTGTCAAAAAAAGAAACCTTCAAGGAGTGCGATGAAAGAACAAAAAACGTTCAGTAATTTATTAACTTCGCGTGACAAAGTCTGTAATCTTCATTTGATGACGCGGCGGCCTAGCAGCAACGACAGCGGCCTCAAACTAACTTATGCTGTGAGCCAGCTTTTTCGCCAGCCCCCTCTTCTCGGCAAATACCCGCATGACGCAGTGCGCAGCTTCGGCCACTGTTGGACCTGGATCACCCGTGTTGTCGCTTTCCATGTCGTCCTCATCACTATCATTTGGCGACACTTCGACAACTGAGGCAACAATGGCTTTATCAGACATGTCCGGAGATGTCTGCACATCGCTGTCTGCGTCTCTGAAGTCGGGGAAGGAAATGCCTTCCGTAACGCCCTGCTGCTCCAGCACTTCAGCTAGCAGAGTTTTGCAAGCTTCATCTACGATGTCCGAAGTCTGGTCGATGGTGTCACTGGCGTCATCTGCGTCACCCGCGCACACACTGAAGCCAGCACGCTTGAAGCAATTTTGAACTGTCTTTGCTTCAACCAGCCGCCACGAGTATTCGAGCAGGTGAATCGCGCCAATCAGGTCGATGGAGAATAATTTGCCACATTCACTGGTGAGAAGAAATCTGCGCAGCAGATTCTTCTTGTAGAGCTGTTTTACAGCTCGAATGATGCCTTGGTCTAAGGGCTGGGCAATCGCTGTTGTGTTTGGTGGCAGAAACGCCAACTTCACAGCCGTCAGGTTGTCCAGGGCGACGTGCGCCGAAGCGTTGTCTAAAATAATAACAACTCTTCTGTTCTTAGCCGCAAAACGACGATCGACGAGGCGCACGTACTCCTCAAAGAGTTTTGCTGTCATCCATGCTTTGGTGTTGCTGCGATAGATGACCCCTAATGGCAACCGGGCGCCTTTGAAACATCTAGGTTTCGCCGACTTTTCAATCACGAGGAGCGGAGTTTTGTCGGTTCCAGTCATGTTTACGCAAAACGCCACTGATATTGTTTTTTGCATGCTTGCCGTCGGTGCACGTCTTGCCTTTGAACGCGAGCGTTTTGTCTGGTAGGAGCTTAAAGAATAGTGCCAATTCATCCATATTAAAGATGTCATCAGGTGTGTAGTCTTCCAAGATGTTCTTCAGCTGACCATTTTGCCACTGCTCCACGCCATTCACGTCAGCAGCAGCACCTTCTCCCGAAACAGTCCTCGTGGTAATGCCGTGCCTCGCCTTAAATCTGGCAAGCCAGTCATTGCTACACACGAAGTTGTCATGGTTGAGCTGCGAGGCAAAAACCAGGGCTTTCTCCACGAGCAGGGGTCCGCTGATAGGCAGATTTTTTGACCGTGCAGCTTTTAGCCACTTCACCAGCGCCTCCTCTACATCCGAAAACGCCAAACCGCGTAGCCGGCACCTTTTCGCAGTTGTAGCAGCACTGCCAAGCAATTTCTCTCTGGAATTCCCAATTCCAGACACCGTGGTTAACCGCAGGTCGTTTTCGCGTGCCAGCGCCGATTTTTTCGTGCCACTTTCAATAGCACGAATTATGTCGAATTTATCCTCTATTTTCAGCACTCGATGCTTCTGTATGACGCAAGTACAAAGCAGCACAAGCACACATACACAACACGGGAAAAACGCCGCGAGAGCTGTACGGCACGGATCAACCAGAGAACACTTATGCACGGCACCAAAGGAACAAAGAAAGCAAAGCAAGCGCACACCGTGTTTGCGTGTTTGTGCAAAGCGCCATCGCGTGGACAACACCAGAAGCCTAGCCGGCCGAGTGCTTCTTGTTTATGAAAAATCTAAGAGATGGTGCTCACCAACACAGCTGCCATCATCATCAACACAAAAAAGTGAGGCATGTTTCGGTCTCTGGAGCTTGCTGTTCTGTCGGGACGCCCAGTGGGGGACGACATGCCGCGGCGAGTGCGCAACAAAAATTGGAAAAACTACTTATTAACCGATACATACGCGATAAGCTGGTACGGCTTATGCGGATACAAAATGCATTATGTTGAATAGCCGCCGAGTTGGGCATTTGACTTCACTACTTTCAAAACGAAACTACTGTTTACGCGGGTACGGTTTAACGAGGTTTCACTGTGCTAAAATGTTGGCTTGAAAGAAGCAATGTACAGTCGACTCCCGGTAATTCGAAGTCGCTTAATTGGAAGTTTTGGTTAATTAGAAATGAGCAAGTGGTCCCATCAGTTTTGCATGCAATCGTATAGAAAAAAATGCTCGATATTTTAAGTTAAAAACCCATAATATTGGTTAATTAGAAGTTTTTTCAATCGACAGTCTCGTGGCGACCGTAATTTTACAGTAAAATGGGGAACTTTTCATATGCCAAAACATATGCCGGACCGCGCTGGTGTCTTCGCCATCACTACTGTCCGCAGCGCCACAGATCTTGAAGCGGCAATCTTTTTTAACGCTGGCGAATCGCATCGGCGGCATCGACTGACTCTTTAGTTGACTTTTGTCGAGACTCGAGTGTGTCACCGCGTCACCCGCGCGCTGGGTTGATTCCACACGTGTTTCCGCGCTTCTGATTTTGAGTGTTGTGGTGGTGACGTACGTTTGATAATGGCAACTCGTGGCCCTTACCGAACGCTAGACCTAGCGACGAAAGTCGAAGTCTTGAAGGAAGTTGACCAGGGAGGCACCGCCAAACGACATTGCAAGAAAGTACGGCATTAAGCCTAACACGCTGTCGACTTTCATAAAGAATAAGCGCTTAATATTGGATGCGTTTGAAAGTGAAAAATTCAAGACATCGCGGAAGCGGATGTGCACCGGCGCCTATCCCGAGTTGGAGGAAGCACTGCTGGTTTGGATCAGAGAGGCACGAAACAACAAACTTCCTCTCAGTGGTGAAGTTGTCACGGCAAAAGCGTCATCGCTTGCTGAAATGTTGGGCATCAACGACTTCGCTGCTTCGGATGGGTGGCTTACGCGTTTCAAACATCGCCACGACTTGATTTTTAAAAGCGTGTGTGGGGAGAAGGCGTCAGTCGATGAGGAAACGTGCCTGACATGGAAAGCGGGCAAGCTTCGCGAGTACCTCGAAGAATACCAGCCGGCAGACATTTTTAATGCAGACGAGACTGCGCTTTTTTATCGGCTGCTATCCGACAAGACCCTGACATTTAAAGACGACGACTGTTCTGGAGGCAAAAGAAGCAAAGAGAGAGTGTCAGTGCTAGTTGCGGCGAACATGACTGGCACAGAACGGTGTCGCCTGCTTGTGATCGGGAAGGCTGCCAAGCCTAGGTGCTTTAAAGGCGTGAAGACGCTTCCTGTGGATTATGCCTCGAACAGAAAGGCGTGGATGACATCCGATATATTTAAGGACTGGATCACCAAACTCGACCGCAAGTTCGCGCAGTCAAGCCGTAAGATTTTGTTCCTTGTGGACCAATGTAGTGCCCACATGAACGTACCTGCCTTGAGTGCCATCCGTCTTGTGTACCTGCCTGCAAACACGACGTCCTTGTTGCAGCCCATAGACCAGGGCATAATAGAAAATGTGAAGGTATTGTATAGGCAGCATCTCGTCGAGCGCATGCTTTTGTGCATGGACAACTCGTCGCAATACAAGGTGAGTTTGCTTAGTGCCATCAACATGCTAGCGCGAGCTTGGACCCGCGTGAAAGAAGAAACCATCGCCAATTGTTTCCGGGCCTGTGGTTTCATGGAAAACTCGGGGGATGCTTCTCCTTGTGCGCCAGTGGAAGTGCAAACAAATGAGCTCGACGACGGTAGCTTTCGCGCCGCTCTCGGTGACGTCCGTTTTGACGAGTATGTCGCTGTGGACAGCAACATCGAAACATGCGGTCCACTAACGGACAGCGAAATCGTGCAGATGGTTCGGCCCCATGACTGCATTCCTGAAAATGACGATGATGATGACGACATCGGAAATGAGCCACCACCGAGGGCTGCCGATGTAGCTGTGGGTCTTGCTCTTGCGCAGCGGTTTTATGTTGGAGAACACAACGCCGAAGAAGCACTTCGACACGTGTATTCCTTACAAAACTTGCTAGCCGCAGCCAGATTCGGCAAGCAGAAGAAGATGACAGACTATTTTTCCTCAAAACTGTCGCGCTTTTAAACTAATAAAAGTGCCGTTTTTACTGCTTTTTGCTTAATTCGAAGTTCGTTTAATTCGAAGTTTTTTGCGGTTCCCGTGAACTTCATATTAACGGGAGTCGACTGTATAATTTTTTTTTATACGAAGCTCAGACCACGAAGTGAGAAAGAAAGAGTGAAACAACTTCGGTCCACAATGGACACTAGAAAGCTCAACGTCACCTGGCTAGGCCCCCTATTAATTTTATTACAATTCCATTCAAATGTGTTTGGAATTTTGAGAGCACGTCACTCTGCGAACTCCATGCTGCCAAGTTGAATCACATTGCCTAGATGTGCCAAATTAACTGAACACCCCTGGGCTTTTCTTAGCACTGTTGTTGACATGTCCGTCACCGGTGTTCAATCGGAAGACTAAGGAGAGCTCTGCAGTGTACATGGGTGCAAACTCTTATTTAGCCCACCACGACAGTCCGCACGCTTGATCACCCATGTCTCTTCCTACCGTGAAAC